GGACAGTGTGCAGAAAGTATAAGCAACCGAATATGTCCAAGAAAATAATGAAACAGACTCTCTAATGGGCTAAATGTCTAACGGCAGACAAAACGATTGATCGCAACAGGGCGGGCATTTAATTGTCCCTACCATTTTCGGCACTTACGTGTAAGGAGGCTGCAATATCGCAGACCTGCCGTTTTGCAAAGACCTTGTGAATTAATAGCTCAAGAAGAGGGGTGGGGGGAAACAGCAAGCCAACCAGCTCCCAATCCCCGGGTCCCAAACCAGAACTGCCCGTCCGTCGCTGCATCACTGATGCTCTCGTTCCCTGTGGGACGGCGAACTCACAGCTGGGGGCTGGGGAAAGAGAACCTTCTGGAACGGCACCATGAGGGGCAACTGAAGCAGACGGTCTGGTGGGCAAGCAGCAGCCCAATTCCCATCCTGCCTCTCGCAGCTCTCCCCTGCAGCAACCGTTTCAGGCTGCAAGGCAATATGGAGGCCATCCCCTCACACCCCAGACCGGAAGGCGCCAGGCACACAAGAGCCTTCTAGGTTCAGTTTGACACCGATTTAGGGACACTCGGGAAACATCACCACACACTGCGCCCCTGAGGGCATTTGATCACCCCCTTTTCCTGAGGCACACGCCAACCGCATAGTCCTCTTTCAGGTGAAGACGAAGAAGACGAAGAAGAAGAAGAGGATGAGGACGAGGAGGAGACTGGAATTATACCCCACCCTTCACTTGGAGTCTCAAAGTGGCTTGCAAGCTCTTTCCTTCCTCTCCCCACAACAGACACCATGTGAGGAAGTGGTTAAGATGCAGCCGCTGGTGTGACCTTGGATCAGTCACAAGTTCTCTCAGAGCTGTTCTCTCAAGAGCAGTCCTAGAAAGAGCTCTCTCAGCCCCACCGGCCTGATGTGTGCCTCAGGAAAAGGGGGTGATCAAATAAATCCAATCTCTCCTTCTTCTTCTTCTATGCTGGTTCTACGTGGATGGCCATTTTAAAAGCAGATGGTCACTGTCTCCGCCTCACCCCTTCCTCAGCTGACACGGACAGTTCTCCCCACCCCGATTTATCCTCACAACAGCCCTATGAGGTAGGTTAGGCTGAGAGTGTGTGACTGACTCAACGTCACCCCACAAGTTTCCACGCTGAGGGGCAATTTGAGCTTGGGTCTCTCAGGGCCCCCTAGATCAACAGTCTAGCCTGGGGGACGGGGTGCTCCCCAACCATTTCAAGCCTATGAGCAAAGTTTGAGAGGAGCTGATAAGCCCCGTCCAAAAATGGCTTCTGTAGGGGGCGGAGCCAAGCCCAAAATGGCTGCCTCGGGAGGCGGAGCCAAACGGAGTCACTCCCTCCTTACGCCTCATTTGAACGAGGTCAGCCAATGGCAAGCCCTGCCTCACAATGGCCCCGCCCACTTTCTGTAAAGCTCAGCAGCGTCAAGTACTGGCCAGCGCCATGGACCCCACAACTCCCATGTTTACCTCAGGCGACAGCTTAGAAGTATGACAGGGCGCTTCCCCCAGAGGGGCAATCCGTCACACAGACACACACGGAAAAAGGCTGTTTTCCAGAACGGAGTTTTCCTCTCTGCCTTGGCGGAGTCAGGCCTGGTGTCACAGGCAGATTTAGAGCCGCTCAGCGGGGAAGTCGCCTTTGAAGCTGGTCCTTCCAAGTGGCCTGTTAATTATTCAAGGCCAAAAGGGGACAGGAAGGGAATAACCATTTATCAAGGCATAAGTGCTCCTTGGGACATTCACTGAGTAGGCAGGATGCGTGCTGGGTTGGCAGAGAGGGAGGGGAGGGTTAGACGGCCCTGTGGCGAGTTGCTGAAAAGTGACTCAGGCCTCTTCCGCATTCTGATTTCCATCACTCGTGTGTTCCTATTGCTTCAGGGTTTCCACCCCCCCCCCCCAATGTGTTTTGCTCTCTTTAGTAGTCCCAGAGGAAGCAAAACACATGTGGAAAGGGGGGGACGGACGGACCCAAAGCAACAGGGACACACGAGTGACAAAAATAAGAACGCGGAAGAACCCGCAGGCAAGCGGCAGGCATCCAAAGGGTATTTCTGCGCCACAGTAAGACCACGACTGTTGGGTTCCCCCACGAACCAAAGCCTCCACGTGCAAGAAACCCAAATGCATTTTCAATGCCCTTTAGTGATCGTTTGCAACTTGCACTGGTTTCTAAAGTGCAACTTCCAACCACCACTAAAGTGCGCTGGGAAGTGCATTATGCGATCTGTGGGAAAGCAGCCCGTGTACGGTCCCTCTTCCTGGATCAGAGAAGCTCTTTGGCTGAGGACCACACGGATAATTCACAAGGGCGGTTCCAGAAGAACAGCTGTGGTAGTCTGTGGCAGCACAAACAAAGAGGAATCCGGCAGCATCTTAAAGACTAACAACGTATCGATCGAGTGCAAGCTTTTGTAGACCGAGGCCCCCGTGTGAGACGGACGCAGCGGGACTTCCAGCAATGTTCACTTTGCCGGCAAATGGAGCACAGACCAGTGTACGCAAGAGGTCCATCCGCTGGAAACCACTGAACAAACTACACAGCGGACACAAAAACACACAGGAAGCGGCCCTGTACTGAATCAGACCCTTGGTCCATCGAAGGCCCTTTCTTTTGAGAGCCAGTTTGGTGTAGTGGTTAAGAGCGCGGACTCTAATCTGGGAGAACCAAGTTCGATTCCCCACTCCTCCGCATGCAGCTGCTGGTGTGACCTTGGGTCAGTGACAAGTTCTCTCAGAGCTGTTCTCTCATGAGCAGTCCTTGAAAGAGCTCTCTCAGCCCCACCTGCCTCACAGGGTGTCTGTTGTGGGGAGGGGAAGGGAAAGGAGTTTGTAAGCCGCTCGGAGACTCCTTCGGGCAGTGAAGGGCGGGGTATAAATCCAACCTCTTCTTCTTCTTCTTCATTTATACCCTGCCTTTCTTCCTGACAGAGACCCAAAACAGCTTACTCTGTTCTCATAAGAACATAAGAGATGCCAATGTTGGATCAGGCCGAAGGCCCATCCAGTCCAACACTCTGTGTCACACAGTGGTCAGAAATACCAGGTGCCATCAGGAGGTCCACCAGTGGGGCCAGGACACTAGGAGCCCTCCCACTGTTGACCCCCCCCAAGCACCAAGAAGACAGAGCATCCCTTGCCCCAGAGCCCCTATCTATACCTTGTGGCTAATAGCCACTGATGGACCTCTGCTCCATATGCTTATCTAATTCCCTTTTGAAGCCATCCATGCTTGTAGCCGCCACCACTTCCTGTGGCAGTGAATTCCAAGTGTTAATCACTCCTCTCCTCTCCTCCATTTTTATCCTCACAACAACCCTGGGAGGTAGGATTAGGCTGCATGTGACTGGCCCAAGGTCACCCAGTGAGATTTTGTGACAGACTGGGGATTCGGCAGCTGGGCCCCCCACATTCGAGTCAGACACTAACATCTCTACTGGGCTGGATCTCCCCTGCGCTCTGTAAACAGGACGTGGGATTCTGGATCATGCTCCGATCGGGCCGGCGCTTCCGTCCAGAGCGGCCTACCTACCGTCGGTGAAGTCCAGAGCGTAGACTGGAAATCTTCGTGCCAAGTCATCAACAATTCCCTTGCCAACATTGAAGAACTCGTGGAGCTGGAGAGAGAGGAAGGAAGTCGCATGTCAGTTCCAAAAATGCACATCCATTGTTGAGAGACAGAAAGAGAGAATGAACTTGCTGCTGCGAGCCAGGAAAACCAAAAACAAGCTATTAGATAAGACAACATCCTTGGGCACAATGCTCCCTCTAAGCTGTGGAGTCTTGTGAGCAAAAATTCTACTTTGTGAGCTATTGGCCCTAAGAGGTGTGAGCGAGCGATTTGGCTGCTGCATCAATCAGTTTGCTCGGGAGCCCTCCCTTCCTGAGCGAAGACAAAAATGTGTGAGCCGGAGGCTAAAAAACCGTGAGCTAGCTCACACTAACTCAGCTTAGAGGGAACACTGCTTGGGAGGAGGTGGATTTATTTTATTTCTAAAATATATTTATTTATAGTCCGTCTTCCTCACTGGGACTCACAGCAGATTACATGGAGTTGTGTTATGGGGGTTGGACTAGATGACCCTTGAGGTCCCCTTCCAGCTCTGTGTTTCTAAGTCGATACTATCGACAGGATGGGACATCCAGTAAAACAGTGCTATGGGGCTTGTATAGTCAAAATCTGGAAAGCTGAAAACAGAACTGAAGTGAAACTTAGGTTGACAAAAACCCGCTCCTAAAATGAACCGCACATGGACGAAAGGGCTATGAGACCGCCTATCCCGTTACAACCCCCCCCCCCCGGGCTCCCTTCGGGCATTGTCTAGGGGGGCTTTTGCAGGGGCCTGGCCCCAGGGCGGGTGGGGTGGT